CACTGGCAAGTTAGAGTCACCAATAAGCATTCATTTGGAGTCAGGTTTCTGTTCAACTAGTGAATGTAAGTCCAATATTCATGCTCCTTTTAGTTCTGTTTTGGTCTCCACCAACTCCTGAAGGAAATATCTGGCTCTTTAGCAGCTAAATGCTCCATTATGTTCACCAGCTGGTCCCTAACTTTGTCTGTCTCAGTTTGATGCTTGACAGGTCGGGTACAGAAGGTTTTGTAGAGATTTCTGTCTGAAAACAACTGCCTGCTGCAGGCAAAAAAAGATCAGAAGCTCCAGAACAGCTAGTAAATGGATCTGTGGGGACATGGTTTTTTCAGCTGCTGTTTCCAAGGTCAAGAATTAGCCCTGACTCCAACTTTTAAGCCACACAAACAAAAACTCCACAGAAAAAAGAAATGTAAACCATATTCCATATTCATGTGATATGACTGAAAGCCCCAGAACAGCCACTGAATGGACCTTGAGGTGAAATTGTTTTGCCAAATACTGATTTTACTTTGCAGGTGTGACAGGAGCTCTGACACATTATTGTTCCAAAACCTTCTATAATGTTTGGTAGCAGCAATAACTGTTAACTTCTCCTGTGATAAAGTGAGGAACTGTGATTAATAGACACACAATCATGTGGTCTGTTCCACAGAAAAATAGTGACAGATGTATTTATCCACTCTGTCACTTCTGATAGATGGCACCTCTGTCAGGGGTTTGCAGTTAGAGGCAGATACCGTCAGTGGCCATTAAGACAAAATGTCTTGGTTTGAAGTTCTCCTCACACATTGCTCAGGGACAAACGTAAGCAATGCATTACTCCCACAATGGATGTGCTTGCTGAGGACAGACTGCTCTGTCTTGTGGACAGCACAAAATAAATATTACTAGCCGTCTGGTTGGGAGTATTTGTCTCACAAATGTTACGTTAATGTCCTTCTGATTGTTAGTTTTGGAAAGTGCAGCACTGACCACACATGTTCATCAAACGACTGACAAAGACAAACAAAGGGATCCATCCATGAAATACTTCCATGTAAACACTCATTCTTATCAGGGAATGTCTTTTTTTTTCTTTTTCTGTCTTTCTCTGTTTATCTTTCCTAACCGCAGTCTACAGTCTTCTTCCTCTCAGGCCAAAGAGGCTAATGCAATGACATGATTACTTTGTTGTGGGCTTCCAGTAACAGAATCTGTGCCAAATATTTTACAAAGTCTGAGTATAGAGTATGAATGTACAGTAACAATAACATTCATTAGAAAAGACATGACATTTCCGCTATCATGTTTATTTTCAATTATTGAAATAAAATAGTTCTTTATCTGTTTTCTTATCTCTTTGCAGGTCATTGTGCTGCTGTAACATGCATTTACACAATAAAGACTTTTCTTACCTTATTTACTTACATTTATGGCATTACACTGTTTTTTATTCAGAATGCCTTGTTCATCTCTTGTAAAAGTTTAAAAAGTCCAGTAATGAAATCTCCTTCAATAAGTGACAGTAGGACAAAAGGTTGATTATACCTATACAAAAGCTGCAGGTAAAAGAGAGCGCAGTCATAATTTTAATCAAAAAAGGTCAGCAGAACAATGTAGAACCTCTGCCCGTTCTCATAATAATGTCCAATTACATTTTCGCTGTTACGACCAAGATCAAGACCCATCTTTAATAGGCTTTTCCTCTTTACATGCTTGGATAGGGACTGGCCCAAGATCATTTCTTTCGACTTTATTACATTACAATTAACTGTGTTTTTAGCTCTTCAGTTTGAACAAGATCTATAAATTATAATCCCAATTATGAGTGAAGCCGAATCAGTGATCAAATTAGGAAATTACCATTTGCTTTAGCCTGTGATCTGGCAAACCAGTAGACTTTGTGAATGAACAATTCAGAGTTCAGGTCCAGTACTGTAACAGACTCCTGGGTTGTTTAAAACTCGTTCTGTCTCCTGTCTTTCACATTGCATTGTATTTATATAATAAAACAGGACCAAACTCCAGACGAAAAACACTTGTGTTCGTCTGAAATCTTTACATTTAACCATATTTTGCTTCATAATAACTTTCATAAAACATATCTGACCTCCAGCTAAACAGTACCAATCAAAACATTAACTGTCCTATGATGCAACACCTCAAAGGTACAGGCCACAGGCACCCAAAGTCGGGTAAATTCAGGTTCCAATTATTTAAATAATCCCTTAACATGTCAGAATGATTTGACAGACTCAAATGTCTCCTCTGGTGGGAAACCTGGGACTACTTCTCCTCCAGGCTCGAATGGAAAAAGCGGCTTTTCCCCTTTCCTGTGATTTTATCTTCTGTTTTTTTTGTGTGACATTTTTGAGCTAAGTTAACCCAAGGTCCTTTTCTGTCTAGTTGGCTTTCTTGTCATATACATGACTTAGTCATCGGTTTTAAATAAAAGACTGGCACCTGCAGTAATAAAGAAAATTTGTTTTGAAGTCGAAACACATTGATTTCTACCAAGGTTAATAATAAATGGCATTTAACTATTTATGGTTTTGGATTATTCTCCCTATCAGTACTCAGTAGCTGTCTTGAAGGGCATCTTATCTCTCTATTTTGACATTTCTTCACCACTTTGAGCCAATACAGCACTCTTAGAGTCCTTTTTAATCCGGTAAATAACTTGATGTAGATAGATCTATTACTGTGTAATTCAAATCCATTCAAAATGGCTGACTGTCTGGAAATAATGTGAAAATAAATTTACATTGTTGCTAAAAGAAAATTGTGAAACTTCTTGATCTCCATCTTTACTTTTCAGGCGTTAATAGAAATAGAGATATCAATATCTGGTTCTGTTTGAGTCTCTTTTGTAGGTTTGGTAATGGAGCCATGCAGGCTGAACACTGGACAAAATTAAGTCCATTTATCTCCTACAGAGACAGTGAGCCACTGGAGGCTGGAAATTGGTGTCTCTCTTTGTCAGCTTATTCAAAAACAGAGAGAATGGATTGCAACACATTAGGTTTTCTTTATCTGTTAATTTCTTTCACTGGTATAAATTAGGCAACAGCAAAAAAAAAAGCATCCTCCCTCTCTGTGCCATTGTTAAGCCGCTAAAGACTTAGAAGGAATTAGAGTCTCAATCCTTTTTAAGAGAGTGGCAAGGTATATTTTAAAGTGTTGCTTAAGGTATTGATTAGATTGATTGACTGACTGACTGATAGAGACATAGACCAGTGACTTGGTTGTAATCACAACATCTTGAGCCATCTTTCCTACTATAGCTGGTTACATTCACTGTCCATGTGACTGTTATCTGCTGAAAGTCATTACACACATTCACGTTACATTATTTCTCAAAACAATGCACCGTGCTCCCATCACATATTTGATTTGACATAAAATTCCGGTTATTGTATTTTTAAAAGATCATTTTATTTTGTTATTTGATTTTGCTTTTTGCATGCAGTTGTTTAACTTATATAAACCACTTTTAAATGCCTTGTTGTTTGAAAGGTGCACTAGAAATAAAGTTGTCGTGCCTTGTCTACATATTACATTTAACGGTGCATTTCAGATTACTCAAGTTACTAATGATGCAACAGTAAAGTGGAAGGGGCTTCAATAAAATCAAATCCTCGGCTCTTCTCAGTTCAATAGGCTGTCACACATGAATGCAAACTTGAGATTACAAGCAAGAGATTACAATTTGGTAACCCTTCCTTTTACAGTCCCCTAATTACCAGGTATTTACCAGGTAAATATATGGTAATTCATAGCATCTTCTTGTGTAATTACCACCAGAATAAGAAGGTAAATACATGGAAACTACAGCTGAAGTACAAAGTATTTATCTGGTAAAATATTTTACAGTGCACTGATTACCAGGTAGTAACCCGGTAAAACATAGAATGTTCTTGTGTAATTTACACTAGTAAAAGAAGGTCAATACAAAGAAACTACAGTCAAAGTACAAAGTATTTACCTGGTAAAATATAATGAAATTACACTGTATTATTGGGTAATTACTGCTGGTAACAAGTAAGTAAATACTGAGAAACTACAACTGAAACACGAAGAAAAAAATCTCCACTACTGCCCATCTTTTCAACTGATTACCATGTAGTTAACAGGTTTAGGTTGGTAATTACTCAGATATAATTGTATAAAATATGGAATTGTTTCTATTTAAGTTGAACATTTTTTCCCGTATTTACCTGTTATCATCCTCTGCAGGAATGGTTTTCCTCTGCTGCCGTGGCCCAGTATATCTTCTTAAATATTGGGTACGTTCTTGCATATGGTTTTAGAACTTACCCAACATGTATGCTGAAACTGTACTGTAAAAGGAAGCCTTGCTTGTTTCCATGCTATTACTATGTTCTTACTAAATTCTTAGTAATAGAATATTCCATTGTCTATGCAATTAAATTAATTTGTATCATTCATGTTCCACAACATTACTAAGTAAAACGTGACAAATTACCCAGTTAGTAAGATGAACCTGTACTGTAAAAGGAAGCCTTGCTTATTTCCATGCTATTAACAGGATCTTGCTGTACAATTTGTAATAGATTACTCCCTTTTCCATGCAATCAACACAAACTTGAACCACATATGTTCCTGGAAATTATCAAGTAAAACATGTCAAATTATCCAGTAAGTAAGCTGAACCTGTACTGTAAAAGGAAGCCTTGCTTGTTTCCATGCTAGTACTATGTTCTTACTAAATCCTTTGTAATAAAACACTCCATTGTCTATACAGTTAAATGAATTTGTACAATATAAGTTCCACAATATTACTAAGTAAAACATGTCAAATTACCCAGTTAGTAAGATGAAAATGCACTGTAAAAGGAAGCCTTGCTTGTTTCCATGCTATTAACAGGCTCTTGCCATATAATTTGTAATAGATTACTCCCTTTTCCATGCAATCAACACAAACTTGAACCTTAAAAGTTCCACAACATTACTAAGTAAAACATGCCAAATTACCCAGTGAGTAAGATGCAACTGTATCACACAAAAAAGAATGTTTAATACCAAGATATAACAAAGGCACAGTGGAAAGTAACAAGATGTACCAAAGTTACCATGAACATTGTTAAGTAATATATACTTATTACTAAAGATTCAGGGTTCAAAGACAACACTTAAACAGAAAAACAAAAACAGAACTCTTCAAAATGTTTAAAATCTGAAATAAAGTATGCTGCCGTACACGAGCTTTACGACTGGAAAGTAGGCAAAGACAAACTCAAAAACATATAACCTTTCAACAACCCTTCTACCCTTCAACTCCCTACCATAGGGAAAGTAGTAATGTGAACCCTCACTTCCTAAATTTGCATTTTATGGGTAGCAGCTCAGACTTTTTTTTCATTTGTTTAATTTTTTCTTCAAGCGGGTTGTTACCCTCCAGGAAGGTCTTGCAGGTTTTGGCGTAGTTTCCTAAAGTGTCCTCCTCAGTGAACTCTGGCAGCAGCCCGAAATCTTCACCCTCTGCAGCAATCCACACCTCTGCAATGATTGCCGTTAAGGCGATTGTATTTCTGTCAACGCTCAGCGATTCACAGCTGAGGCTGATGCTCCTTGTACGCCGAAATTCTTTTAGAACAGCTCTGTATCGGTGTACGACGTCCTCTGGACCCTGAACTACAAGACAGATTATAAAATATGATCTATTAACATTATATCAAAATCACACAAACATTAATAATCTTGGTTTTACATAACAGGACATTCTAGAGTTAGAGAGGAAAATAATGTATGTAATCTAGTCTCTGCACTCCTCTCCTTCACTCTACTCTTATAAAAGTGATTAATTCAATAAATAGTGCTGTATGATAGGCCCAGCACACTGGCACTGAACTTCTCCCCAAAGAAAATCAGTCAACACATGAGGGTGCTACATTGAAACTATAAGCAGGGAGTGCAGCAGCAAAACCCAGACAGAGCAGACAGCAGCAATGACAATGAACAGGCGGAAAGCACAACAGGGGGAGCTGGGGGCGGCGGTGGGTTGAAGTCAGCTAGTGGAGGAAGCAGCAAGAGAAGCCAGGCGAGGGCAGTTTAAATACTGAGCTTTGAAAGTGTTTAGCCAATAGGAGCATTGGTGAAGTCAGCTGAGTGATCAGCTGATGGGGCTAGGCTTGCTTGCTGCTGACAGCTGATATAGAGCGTGTCGTTGTGGCCTGCCTGAACTAACCCTATGCTTTATGAATATAAGAGCTTGTAACACTGAGATGAAAATGTTCCATACACTAAACTAGGTCCATTTTTGTCACCTGGAACATGTACAATAATCTGAAGGCTTCATGCGAAAAGCTATTAGCCACCCACCGTGACCGACTCCATACTGAAGCACATATCAATACAGATGGTCCCGGATCAACACAGGAAATCGGAAAAATTTAAAACAGAAAAGGCCATTTGAAGTTTTAAAAAAATAATAATTTGCATTCAAAAACTGTGGGTTTAAAACATTTCTGACTTTAATTTGAATATCTCTGTGGGCCTTAATTGTTCTTGTTCTGTTTAACTAATATACAGTGTTTATAACAAATAGCGATCGTACTAAATTCTGTGTAGGACATGGTCAACATTGAAAATCAGCTTGCATTATAGTTGTTCACGATACCCTGCCCTTGGCAATACCCTGAACTATGATAACGTACAAGCCTAATAAGACTGTATAATATAAGATGATTGTGAGCTATCCTTTTCATAATGATGAAAGTTACCTCTTTTTCCAAATTTTGCAGGGTTTTCCTTCTTCTTATTCTTTCTCTTCTTCTTATTCCTCTTTTCTTCTTCAGAGAAGGAGTCTGACTCAGAGTCAGATGTTAAAGAGTCTGAGGAATCCATGCGCCTCCTTTTGTCGGACCCTTAAACAGAGTAACAAAAATTATGAAATAAATATTTTTTCTAATAATTATTTTTTCTGATTTTGCGCTTGAAAAAAATTATCTTATTGTAGCATATTTATATTATTTGTATGATATGGATACAAAATAAGCAACTCATTTAGACTATAGAAATAGCTTTCCATGTTGTTTTTGGGAAGAACACTGTCTGGATACCTTTTGAAGATGTTGAGGGTCTGGTCTTCACTGGGTTGAGACCTTTCTGCCTAAGGAAATCCCGCTCCTCTTTCAGAAGTCGGTTCTCCTCTTTTAGAAGGCGGTTCTCCTCTTTTAGCAATCTATAATCCTCCTTAAACTTAGCCATGGTTGGGGCAGTAGTTGGAGCAGATGGCTGTGCAATCTCTTCCACTAAAAAAGATGCAAAGACAAGGGCAGGTGCTCGCTGTTAGTGTATTTCCAAAACCTGTTTTAATTATCAACCAGAGGAGGTTGCATGATAAAAAGTTTACACCAGGCGGCCATTATACACTTAATGTTTTTACTTGTAGTATATTATATTCTATTATTGTGTATTAATATTCTATTATTTTCAGACCATGCCTGGATATACTGGATAGTACAGGTCAGTAAATGCCAACAGAGGGCACTACCCCTCTTGACAGGGGCAGCACTAATTACCCCTTTTGAGCCAGGAAAAACCCTTCCTGCAACCAAATGCTACACATAAAATACTTTTGTAGTATTTACATCCTTTTCCATAAAAAACTATGTTACCTTCATAACCAGACTGCAGCATGTCATCATCTGGTGGGTGGCTGGTTTGTTTCGACTTAGTTTGTCTCTTACCCCGTGTCAATGGCATGACTAAATGTAAAAGAAAGAAAGAAAGAAAGAAAGACTAGTAAGTCTGTTTTAGAACTTGGACTGTACTTACTAACAGGAGCTTAGAGCCATGGAGAGAATCCACTGCTTTGGTAACGTTTGTTCTCTGTTGTGTTTAATGAACATCAGTTACGGTATTAAAAATGCAGTACAATAAAGGAATAACGTTATGCATCTTAATTTGAGAAAGGGCTGGCTCTATTCGTGGCAGCGGTAGATAGTAGAAGCACTTCCGGTGGTAGCTGCCACTGACCTGCCGGTGTCTGAGGGAGCAGTAGCCTCAGACACCGCGGAGAATTGAGCCAGCCCTTGCTGGAGACTAAATTTTCGCTCGAGACAAAACAGTTAACTTATCTTGCATTATCAAAATACCTTGACAAAATGCTTCTTCTTGCCACGATAGTATGAAAACGTGATGTGTTTTGCCACTTTCCGCCGGCGCCTTCTCCTTCTACCTGGCGAGCCACTATGGGGGGAGCCAATGAAAGGAATAGTCCATTAAATGGCATTAAACAGTTGGTAAGAGTAGTTGTGTATTAACAGTAAACGTGTACTTGGCATTACCGCGATCTAATGATTTAACCCTATCTGTTTTTGCGCTATCCTACTCCCCCTCCCCTAACACCAAGTTCAGAATGGTATGTTCCTAGAGATCAGGTGGAAATTTGGACAAAAATGCCCGCGCAGGTGGCGGTTATACACCCGGAAAGCTGGTGCCCCCCCGCCATAAAAAAGCAAAGAAGAAGAACAATGCCCGCACAGAGCACTTAATGTGTGAATATTTCAGTAGGCCTAATATGACATTGACAAGAACATTAATTAAGAAGACAGCGCAAGGGGGTAAAAAGTTAATAAGATGGATGCAGAGGGAGAGGTTGTTGGCAAGGAAGAAACGATGCCCTGTGTGCAACAACAAAATGAAATTCAAAAGAACCAACACAACCAAGGATGGATATAGGTGGTAAGTAAGGATCAATATGCCATTATATTATATTGTAACATTTAAATTGATCAAATCTTAACAGATTATCTTCATGTAGATTTTACTCTAGCTATTGTTTCTTTTATATCAGATTATAATAGTGAAAGAAAGAAGACAAAATTTACTTATGTGAGCTATCTTTATGTAGGTTTATTTATTTATTTATTTGTTTGTTTATTTATTCATTTAACATTATAATTTTTTTAGTATAAAAATATATATAAGTGTAACCATGGCGATACTATGACAAACTGTTATGTACAGGTGCTGTAGAAGAAGAACTCACAAGGGCAGGGCCATCACGAGGTCCATCAGAGAGGGCTCAGTTTTCTCCAGATCACATATTCCATTACCATCATGGATGAAACTTATGCACAGGTTAGGTTCTCTCTCTCTCTCTCTGTGTCTGTCTTACACTGTTGTGTTTAAGTGTTTCAGAAAAACGCAATTGATGATATGTTGATAGTTGTCATATTTAGTCATTTTTGTCTCAGTTTGTCACAGGGCTTGAGGAAGAGACAAGTAGACATGATAGAGGATGGAGTATGTGGAAGCAGCAAATCACTGACCAGAGTAACTACGCTGTTGCGAGAAATCTGTGGTGAAGCAGTTAGGCGACTGGAAAGAAGACGGAAAAAATGAGAATTGGAGGGAGGAGAGCTTTTGTAGCAATAGATGAGAGTAAATTCAGACACAAGCAGAAGGTAAGGTTTGTTTATGTAAGTAAAATAGTTATTTCTGTTGTGAAAGTACAGTACATCTGAATTACTACAGTACTAAATACATTGGAAACAGGTTTTCATAGAGTAAAATACTCCACCCAAATTTATCTATATTAATCTAAGATTAGAATCAGGTCCTGTTGATCAGCCTCAATGCTGCTAGTAATACTGCATTACATATGTCTATTGCATAGCATACAAATACATATAATAGTCTGCTTAGAAAAATATGACACCTAAAAATTTGGATTTGGACGCTAGCCCTATGAAATGTCATATGCCAGGTAGCACATGGGGGTGAATCAGACAGCCCTGAAGTGAGTCTAACTATAATTTCAGATGAATTTCATAAAAGCATGACATTTTGCTTATTTTCAGTATGGACGTGGACGACGTGGACCCACCTGGCGAAGACGCTCGTGGGTCTTTGGAATGCTGGAAGTGAAGAGGTCCCGTAGACGTCCTGTCTTAAAGCTGGTGGAAAATCGATCCAGGATGCAATTACTTACAATAATCCGAAAATATATCAGACCTGGAAGTGAGGTGATTAGTGATTCCTGGCGTGCCTACAACAGATTGTCACGTGAAGGATACATTCACTATCAGGTGAATCACCAGAGACATTTTGTACACCCTGGAAGTGGTGCTCACACACAGCACATTGAACGGGCATGGCGAAGTTTCAAAGAAGGCATCTACAGATACAGGGGAAACCTGACAGAGAGGGCCTTAAAAATTAACTTACGGTTCATAGAATGGAACCACTGGCTTGGAAAGGAGCATAGGAAAGGCATTCTTAGACGCTTACTTCAAGACATAAGAGCATGTTACAAAGTGTAACAACCTTCCAATCCTTTCTCTTGTTTCAAAAACTGAGAAAAGCATGATCTCATAAATTACACAAGGTACAACTTCTAACCTTATATCAATTTCTTAATTGTTATTAATTGTTCATGGTTGCAACCATGTAAACTTTAGCACAATTTGTTACTTTCCACTGTGCCTTTGTTATATCTTGGTATTAAACATTCCTTTTTGTGTGATACAGTTGCATCTTACTCACTGGGTAATTTGGTATGTTTTACTTAGTAATGTTGTGGAACTTTTAAGGTTCAAGTTTGTGTTGATTGCATGGAAATGGGAGTAATCTATTACAAATTATATGGCAAGAGCCTGTTAATAGCATGGAAACAAGCAAGGCTTCCTTTTACAGTGCATTTTCATCTTACTAACTGGGTAATTTGACATGTTTTACTTAGTAATATTGTGGAACTTATATTGTACAAATTCATTTAACTGTATAGACAATGGAGTGTTTTATTACAAAGGATTTAGTAAGAACATAGTACTAGCATGGAAACAAGCAAGGCTTCCTTTTACAGTACAGGTTCAGCTTACTTACTGGATAATTTGACATGTTTTACTTGATAATGTCCAGGAACATATGTGGTTCAAGTTTGTGTTGATTGCATGGAAAAGGGAGTAATCTATTACAAATTGTATAGCAAGATCCTGTTAATAGCATGGAAATAAGCAAGGCTTCCTTTTACAGTACAGGTTCATCTTACTAACTGGGTAATTTGTCACGTTTTACTTAGTAATGTTGTGGAACATGAATGATACAAATTAATTTAATTGCATAGACAATGGAATATTCTATTACTAAGAATTTAGTAAGAACATAGTAATAGCATGGAAACAAGCAAGGCTTCCTTTTACAGTACAGTTTCAGCATACATGTTGGGTAAGTTCTAAAACCATATGCAAGAACGTACCCAATATTTAAGAAGATATACTGGGCCACGGCAGCAGAGGAAAACCATTCCTGCAGAGGATGATAACAGGTAAATACGGGAAAAAATGTTCAACTTAAATAGAAACAATTCCATATTTTATACAATTATATCTGAGTAATTACCAACCTAAACCTGTTAACTACATGGTAATCAGTTGAAAAGATGGGCAGTAGTGGAGATTTTTTTCTTCGTGTTTCAGTTGTAGTTTCTCAGTATTTACTTACTTGTTACCAGCAGTAATTACCCAATAATACAGTGTAATTTCATTATATTTTACCAGGTAAATACTTTGTACTTTGACTGTAGTTTCCCTGTATTGACCTTCTTTTACTAGTGTAAATTACACAAGAACATTCTATGTTTTACCGGGTTACTACCTGGTAATCAGTGCACTGTAAAATATTTTACCAGATAAATACTTTGTACTTCAGCTGTAGTTTCCATGTATTTACCTTCTTATACTGGTGGTAATTACACAAGAAGATGCTATGAATTACCATATATTTACCTGGTAAATACCTGGTAATTAGGGGACTGTAAAAGGAAGGGTTACCTACAATTTAGATTACAAAAACCAGCCCATGAGGAGTCTCTTTAAAGACATCACCGATCAATAGGTAACAAAGTTTAGCAAGCCACCTTGTATGCTTTTGCAACATCTGGAAAGAGTTAGGATCTTAAATGACATTTCTAATCGATAGAAAACTGTCTCCTGTTTCCCGAGAGATAATCAACATTTCAACATCATATATTCAGAATCTGATAGAAGAGCCAATCAGAAAAAACCTGATGAGAGTTTTTTAGTTAAATGGCATCATATAGATAGAAGCAGAAAAAATCGTTTCATGAATATCATGAGCTTTTACTCGCGTAAATACAACTTGGGTCCAGTAAACGTGGAAGATCTTGCATTGCAATGTAACCTCACGGTCAATACAAGAGAAGGAGGGGCTCAAATAACAAACCTCAGCATGAAACTGTAACAAATTTGTTCAGGCTGAGACAATCAACGTGTCTAAATAATAAGCCTCTACATTTTATATCTTGTGTTGAATGTTACGGAAATTCATGCATAAAATATCAAGTGATTCATTCAGTTAACCTTAAAAACAAATTTTCTTATTGTTTGTGGCAGATGTATGCTGAATCACAGATGCACACTGTCCTTTATCTTTGGCTAAAAGTCCCATAATAGCATTTTAGTTCAAAAGATGTCATTTTCTGATAAGACAGCACACAGCTGTGACCTCTGTCTGTATTTTGGAGTTGATGTTTGACTGTTTACCTACTTTATGCAGGGAAATAGCTACAGCACATGTTACATTATTTATCCAGTTTGTGGCTTGTGACTTTGCTAGTGCTACTCCTTACTTTTCTTACTAAAAGAAAACCCACTTAGGTATCATCAGAAAGTGTGCTTCATTTACCAGTCCAGCTTGAAAGTACTGTCGATGAAGAAACTGATATTTCTTCTAAAACACATCCCCGTATGACTGTTAAAAAATGACATAGGCAAAAGCTATTTCTCTTTTATTCAAAGGACCTGACACTGGTGACATTTTATGTGGCTGAAAGATTTACTAATCTGTCTGAACTAATAATGTCTGAACATGAGGTCACACTGTCTGCCACTTATCTGAGGGAATGAGTCAAATTAATAACAAGGCCTAGAAGATATAACTAGTGGCATTAAATAGTTTATTGCAAAATGTTCAGACATTATATTGCCACTGCATGAGTTGATATATCACCCAAATTTTAATCAAACTTAGTTCAATAGGTCACATACGAATATACAGTATTTGACTAAAATTTGTGCGTGACAGTTTATTCAGTGAACTCTAATCATGAAACCCAAATGTTGAACTGCACTACCAACTCTCTGTTGAATGAATCAATCACTGTGGAAATGTGCACACATGTACAATCCTAATTCCAACTCCCACGATTAGCATGAGTGTGTACAGAAGCCCATTTAACCTGGTTAACACATAATTGCCAATCATCATCATGGA